GCGTTAGTTCCCATAGGAACTAATGCAAAGCCAGTTAATCCGTACTCTACCACTAGGGGGAGACTGTTGTTCTTAAGAAGGAACGTTCTTAAGTAGTGGTTCCACTGTATTCTGCTCTGAAAGATCAAGGAAGAAATTATTAAACAAGGGCTACAACGCATATAAGGTGACCTGCAACACCCCAAAAACACTTTGGACCCCCTTGGGGTTCACAACCCCCCTGTTGGGAAACACAGTTTTACCCAAAGAAGTAGGAAAGGAGACAAAGAGAGTTATATTTACTGAAGAATGTGGTTCTTTGGATATAAATCTTTTGACCACCCTTCTAACCTCAATCCTCTGCCACGTCTTCTCCAAGGGGTAACTTAGGTTGGGACAGAATTAAGTACAATCTCCTGAGATCTACAGAAGTCTATGTTAGATTTAGGAATGAAGGAAGAGTAGGTATAAAATGTTACAGTGTGAGAAATAAGAAAGCGTAAGTGTTCCTTAATAGAGGGGGAAGTGAGTTTAGTCATTCCACAAGTTGAAGTACAGTGGAGTCTCAACTTACGTCCGGCTCCACTTATGAACTTTTCGACCTACAGACTTCTCCGGCCGCAGTTTCACTACGACCTGCGTCCATAGAATCGACATGCAGACCAGAAGAGGGAGGCAGGGAAAGCGCCAAATTCAAATTTGGCGCCTCAGTCTGTAGGTTGTGCCTCCAGACGCCTTCCAGTGCTTCTCCGCCGCCATGGGAGACATCTTGGAGGTCCCCCCCCACTGCCGATAGTGCTTCGGAGCCACTATTGGCGGTGGGGGGACCTCCAAGATGCCTCCCATGGCGGCAGAGAAGCCCTGGAAGGCATCTCGGAGGACTCCCCTGCTGCCGCCACCTGGAAGGAGCCAAGCTGCGCAATCGTAGCCATGCTCGGACTCCTGGGAGGAGGAGCAAAGTCCCCTGGGAAGAGGAGGAGGGTAGGTCAGGTCCGTTGTGGCTGCTTCCCCTCCCTCCATGGCTACCTCTTTCTCTCCATGCCCAGCCATGCCTTATCTCACTTCCCTCCCCTGCCGTCTCTTCTCTCCCCCTCACTTGCACCCGGGCAAGGATTCTGGCTGCCGCTACCACCGAGTGCTGGAGCAAAGTCCCCCGACAGCCAGGTCCAAACTGAGGCAAGATACCAGCTCAAAGGTAGGAGAGACTGGCACGGGGGAGTGGGGAGGAAGGACAGAGACTGGGAGGACTTTTCTAGGCAGAGAGAGATGTGGTGTTTGTTCAGGAAGGCAGGCATTTTTGTGCTGGGCTTTTAAATCTGTTCTGTTGTCTGAAAGGTGCTTGGCTTAAAATGTGTTCCCTCCCTCCTTTGCTGCCCCCTTTTCCCCAAAAGGTGCTTGGCTTGGCTTGGCTCAAAAGGTGCTTTTAAATCTGTTCTGTTGTCTGAAAGGTGCTTGGCTTAAAATGTGTTCCCTCCCTCCTTTGCTGCCCCCTTTTCCCCAAAAGGTGCTTGGCTTGGCTTGGCTCAAAAGGTGCTTTTAAATCTGTTCTGTTGTCTGAAAGGTGCTTGGCTTAAAATGTGTTCCCTCCCTCCTTTGCTGCCCCTTTTCCCCCAAAAGGTGCTTGGCTTGGCTTGGCTGAAAAGGTGCTTTTCAAGGAGAAAAAACGATTTCAAAAGTGCTTTGCAAACTGTTCCCTGCCCCCCCCCTCCTTTCCGGAACTTTTCTTGACCTAAGGGAAAAAATCCCCCTCTAGCAGTAGAATGCAGAATAGCAGCTTCCTATTAGTTTCTATGGAACGAAAAACAGCAGATACGGATTAAATGGATTTCAATGCATTCCTATGGGGAATGCATATTCGACCTGCAAACTTTTCGACCTGCGGACTGCCTTCCAATACAGATTAATTCCGTAAGTCGAGATCCCACTGTAATAGCATTGAGGAAAGCCACCTTGAGGGAAAGAAATTGACAAGAGACAGAACATAAGAGTTTGAAAAATAAGTTAATGAGGACCTTGAGAATTATTTGGAGTCTTTTTTTAAGAAAACAAGGTGAAAATGAGAAAAATGTGAGAAAGAGGCATTATGTGTACGTGATCAGAAAGAAGAGAGCATTCAAAAGACAGAAAGGAGAGAGCAAAAAGTGAAGCTTGGGCTGGGCAAAGGCAAGAGAAGAAAACTGGGAGGAGCTTGTGGAGCATGACTTTAAAACTCACCTAAGTTTGTTCCTCCTGCTTGAACTGGGCCTAGAGAGGGATTAGCCGGTTACTGGATAGTACCTTCCTGCGGACCAAGAATAACAGGAAAACTTGCTTTGCAGTATTCTGACTTTGGTGTTTATGCAAAAAGTGGCTATACATTTACAGTGGTGCCCCGCATAATGAGCGATTCGTTTAACGACGAATCCGCATAGCGATTTGTTTTTTGCAATCGCAAAAGCGATCGCATTGTGATGTTTTAGATGGTAAATGTTTTAAGAACAATGTTTTAAGAACAGCTGATTGGCCGGTCCAAAATGGCCGGCGGGTGAAGAAAATGGCCGCCTGCTGTGTTTTCGCGCCTTTTCCTCGTTTACCGGGCAGCGAAAATGGCGGCCGCATGGAGGATTTCCACAGAACGGATTTCCGGATAACGGTGCGTTTTTTGCCCATAAGAATGCATTAAACGTGTTTTTTGTCCCGCATAGCGATGAATCTACATAGCGATGATTTTTTTGGAATGGATTATCATCGCTTTGCGGGGCACCACTGTATACGTATTTCCACGTTTCTGGGACCAAATAGGTTCCTATTCTGTTTGTATAATTGCACCATTTTGAGAGAGATCCAGTTATTGGAGTTAGTGGGCTTCTTTTTTGTCCAGAGCTCTAGTCATCCTGTAGCACTTTAGTGCACTGCTCTGCAGGACTGGGAGAAGACTTAAGGAATGTGGAGTGAGATGGGGAGTTCCCTTTCCCAGCATCCTGAAGTTTACCTTGCAGTCTTAGATAATGCTGGATCGTTCAAAAACTGGACTTGGTCCTGATGTTGAACTTTATTCATCTTATCATGAGGAGAGCAGAATGTAGAAAATGAAAATGTGAAGATTTTTTCCTCCTTTGTTTACTGACCTGGTAAAGACAATGGTATTAATACTGTGTTTCCCTGAAAATAAGACAGGGTCTAAGTTTTGCTTCAAAAACGCATTAGGGCTTATTTTCAGGGGATGTTTTATTTTTTTCATGTACAACAATCTACATTTATTCAAATACAGTGGTGCCTCGCTTAACGAGCACACAATTTAACAACGAATTCGCATAGTGGCACGTGTTTTGTGGTCGCTAATGCGATCGGGGTGTGATGTTTTAATAGGGAAAACATCGGATGGCGATGATCGGTAAGCGTTTCGCTTACCGATCTTCACATTGCGATGTTTTTTAAACAGCTGATTGGCGGTTCCAAAATGGTCGCCACATCCGCAAAATGGCCGCCCGCAGTGTTTTCGCGCCCTGCCCTCGCTTACCGGGCAGCGAAAATGGCAGCCGGATTGAGGATTGCCTGCATAGCGGTAAGTTTTCGCCCCAATAGGAACGCATTGAACCCATTTTAATGCGTTCCTATGGGTTCCCCCCCCCCCCGCATAGCGACGAATCCACATAGTGACGTTAATCCTGGAACGGATTAGCGTCGCTATGTGCGGCACCATTGTACAGTCATGTCATCTTCTGGTTGCTGTACCATGGTGGAGGGCGAGGTTTCAGTTCACTGGGGCTTATTTTTGGGGTAGGGCTTGTATTATGAGCATCCTGAAAAATTATACTAGGGCTTATTTTCAGGTTAGGTCTTATTTTCGGGGAAACGGTATATCCCCTCATCCCCATGTTCTGACCTCCCAATTTTTGCTATATAAATTGTGCACTGGAGCAGGCCAGTTTCTTTTTTGTGTCTGCCTTCTATCCTGATTAGTTTCCTTTGGCATACCTAGAGAGTTATCCCAATGTGTTACACTAATGTTTTATTTTTGAGTGGCTCTATTTTGTTTCCAGACTAATGAAGACTCAAGTCAGTAGTAGAGAGAATGGTGGAAAGGTTTGCAAAGAACAGTGACCACAAGATTCTGAACTAGAGACTGTTCTCTGCAGCCTACCTTAGAAATCCAAATTTCTGTTTTAAAAAAATCGCGTTGTATAAATGTGCACTGAAACATCTGTTCAATATTGACAAGAATGGAAAAAATACATAGGGTTAGAGACAGCTATTTTCTCACTTGAAAATGGACAACTGGTGAGGGTGTTATGCTCTAATTGTGCATTTGATAAGAGATTTAGCGAGCTTCTTTGTTGTTTAGAAAACCTTATATACTATATTGTCAAGAAGTGAACATGGGATAAAAGAAATTAGGCTTCTGTGAAAACCATTGTCTTTGGTAGTTTTGGCAGCACCTAACTGGGCAAAGGTGTAAACTTGCTAGAGATCATCATGGTTGTGTTTTTGTTTGTTTTCAGAGATTGGAATACGGCTATAAAATCTCAGCCAGCATTTGTCCTGGAGAATCCTTCATGGAATCGTACATCAGAAGACTTCTTTATTACATCATTATTGCAGTTTCCATAGAATTGAGGAAGTAATCTAGTATCCTATGATAATACTATATACAACCTGCTTATGAAACAATCACAGTCAATGCATCCATACATGTAGCTTCATCTACCCGTGTTTTATTTCCACCATCATCTGTTTTGGACTGCAGATTATTTAGGAGCAGAGATTTCTCTATTTTTACAATGTGATTATTATGCTATGTACTGTAGTGTACAGTAAACAATTTTATTTATTTATCTATTTGATTTTAGTTGTATACTGCCCTTTTAGCCTAAGGCCACTCTGGGCAGTTCACAACATGATCGAATAGTAAAACAATACTACAAATATAAAATAAAATCAACATATAACTACCATAAAATAAAACAGTAATTAAACAATTACAATAATAAGTATGACATCACCACTACCATGGTTGACCATATGATTGGTTCAGTCTTCTAGTATTACTGTTTTTCATAATGACAGTCAATTTCCTCCTCACTACTAAAGGTTTTGGTTTGAAAATAAAGATTTTGTGATATGTTATGACTTGCATTGAAAGATCTTTGTATTTCTAACAACTGGGATCTCAAGTAGACAGACTGAAAAAGTCTGTGCCAAAGAATGAGAAAGTAATATTGCCCTGGTCTGATTATGTGCTTTGGAAAATATACTTAGCAATTTAGGAAAGAAATCGACTCGGGAAAGTTTTTCTCTCTTTGCCACATTAGGAGGGACAACATTGAAGTTTTTAGCTAATTGTGAATATAATTTGGCCTCAACTCTCCAGTTTTGTTAATGGTACTTCTGTGTACTTCAGCACTATGACATCACAGGAGAAAGATACCTGCTTTTCAAGAATTCTGCAAGAACATTTTTACATATTTTGGGCAAAAGTATTAGAGAAGGCTCTCCTTCAAGGCAATATATATATTTTAATTCTAGTATAATTAACTGTGACATTAAATGCTGATTTTAGCACTAAATTTTGTTTGTTTGTTTTTACCCCACCTTTCTCTTTAAAAGGACCCAAGGCAGCTTACAGCAATTAAAAGACAACAGTATACAAATATTAAAAAAGATTTAAACAAATATTATATTAAACATACAGTAGTCAATAAAATCAGTACTAAAAGCACAATTAAAAACACCAGAGCATAATAATCCATTTAAAAAAACCCCTCTCAAGCTGCCAATCACTAAGGAAAAGTCTGAAGAGAAAGGCCTCCCCTGATTATCTTAATTCCTGGATGGGCTCATAGAGAGAGGTGAATTTTTTTAGATAGCTTGGACCCAAGCCATTTAGGACTTTATAAGTTAAAACCAGCACTTTGAATGTGCCAGGCAACCGTTCAGCTGCCAGTGGGGCTGCTGTAATAGGGGAGTTAGGTGGTCCCTGTAACCAACCCTAGTCAGCAATCTGGGTGCAGCATTTTGGACCTGCTGATGTTTCCTTACACTTTCCAAAGGCATCCCCACATAGAGTGCAGTACAGTAATCCAGCCAAGATGTAACTAGGTAATGTGTCACCAGATCAGACCTCTCAAGAAACGAGCAGAGCTGGAGCACTCGTTTTAACTGCAAAAGTACTCCTGGTTGTTGCCCAAACCTGAGCATACAGGGTTAAAAATGAATCCAGGAACAGCCCCAAGTTGTGGATCCATTTTCAGAGGGAGTGCAATCCCGTTCAGCACAGGTGCAACTCTGTTCCTTAACTGACCAGGATCACCTCTGTCTTTTCTGGATTAAGCTTCTGTTTATTCACCTTCATCCAATCCATTACTGTCAGCAGACACTGATCTAGAACTGAGCTTCCTCGGGACTTATATGAGAAGGGATGGGTTTGGGTGTCGTCTGTGTAACTGGTAACACTGAATCCCAAAACTCTGGACAGCCTCTTCCAGTGGTTTCATATAGATGTTGAACAGCATGGCAGACAAAACAGAACACTGAGGGATCCTACAAGTCAGCCGTCAGGGTATCAATGAGGAGCCCCCTCAGCACCACCCTCTGGGTTCTCCCTTCCAGGAAGGACCACAGCCATTGTAACACAGTGCCTCCAAGTCCCGTTCGGAAATGGCCCAGAAGGATACCATGGTTGACAATATCAAAAGCCACTGAGAGATCCAGCAGAACCAGCAGGGACACGTTTCCTCTGTCCAGTTCCCAGCACAGGTCACCCACCAAGGTGACTAAAGCAGGCTCTGTCCCATAACCAGACTTGAAACCAGATTGAAATGGATCTAGATGACCAGTCTCATCCAGGAGCTGTGAAGCCACTACCCACTCTTGCACTATTAGATGCTGGCTGGTAATTATCCAGTACTGTGGGGGTCCAAGGAGGGTTTTTTCAATAATGGCTTTACTCCTGCCTCCTAGACACGCTGGGATGCTACCCTGCTGCAAGGAGGCATTCACTAGCAGCTCAGCTAGCCCCTTTCTGGCAGCTGACAGATCATTCATACTATGGTAGTTATAAGGTAAAGGTAAAGGTTCCCCTTGACAATTTTTGTCCAGTCGTGTTCGACTCTAGGGAGCATTGCTCATCCCCGTTTCCAAGCCATAGAGCCAGCGTTTTGTCGGAAGACAATCTTCCGTGGTCACATGGCCAGTGCGACTTAGACACGGAACGCTGTTACCTTCCCACCGAGGTGGTCCCTATTTATCTACTTGCATTTGCATGCTTTCGAACCGCTAGGTTGGCGGGAGCTGGGACAGGCGACGGGAGCTCACTCCGTCGCGTGGATTCGATCTTACGACTGCTTGGTCTTTTGACCCTGCAACACAGGCTTCTGCGGTTTAGCCCGCAGCGCCACCACATCCCATGGTAGTTATAAGGATGTACTATTTGGATTTTTTGTGTTCCATCTGTTTTACCTTCCAGTTCTGCACTTGCAGAGTCCTCAGTTTTGCTCGCCTGGAAAAAGGCCTATTTCTGGCCTAAGTTCCTGTTAGAAAGGAAGCTGCTGCACAGGACACTAGCCATAAAGTGACTGCTCTGTACAGTACTTGATTTAAGCAAACTAGCTGTGAAATAGTACTATTCTCTATAGTATCTATGTCCCAAAATTGTGCTTTACAGGAGACATGTTTTTCTGAAAAGGGTTGCAGAACTGTATAGGGACAGACTGCCTATTTCACAGTCCTTCATCTACATCTCCTTTTCACCAACTGCAGGTGATGCCGTCCTGTCCCTCCAGCGCTGCCTGGGGGCCATACTGCAGTGGATGCAGGAAAATGGGCTGAGGACGCCCTTGGAGTTGGTGGCCTGGGTGGCTCTCTCACATTTGAGGGGGGTGACCCTGGCTAAGAGGGGTTTGCAGCCTGGGAGTACACTTGGACCCAACGCTCACCATGGAAACCCAGGTGGTGTCGGTAGTTTGCGCCGCCTTTTTCCACCTTTGGCGGATTGCCCGGCTGCGACTCTACCTTGACATGGGGGCGCTCACTACCTTGGTACGTGCGCTCATCATCTCAAGATTAGACCACTGTAACGCACTCTACGTGGGGCTGCCTTTGAGGCTGATGCAGAAACTTCAAGTGGTGCAGAATGCAGCGGCCAGACTCCTTAATGGAGTGAGAAAATCCGTTTCCGCATTGAATTCAAAGTTCTATAAGGCCCTAAACGGTTTAGGACCTCGATACTTGGTGGAGCGTCTGCTCCCACCAAGATCTACTCGGATCACCCGCACGAGTCAGGAGGTGAGGCTGAGGAACCTGACACTGAAGGAGGCCCGGAGGGAAAAGACTCGAAGCCAGACCTTCTCGGCGGTGGCTCCTTGCCTTTGGAACAACCTTCCTCCGGAGATTCGTGAGGCCCCCTATGCTGGGTACTTTCAAATGCCAGCTGAAAACATGGATGTACATCCAGGCCTTCCCTCCTGTCAACTACTGATTTCTTTTGCTTTGCTATTTATTATTTATTTATTCCTGCACTATTTGTTATTGTTGTATGCTAACGTTTTTATGTTTTTTAAATGTTTTGATATTCTGTAAGCTGCCCAGAGTGGTAGAATATACCAGATGGGCAGGATATAAATCAAATAAATAAATAAATAAATAAATAATGACAGGTCCACACTCAACTGATCACAATTCAACTGCCACTCTGTTTTTCCACTGAGCAGTACTCACTGTATTTAGGTTTTAATTTCATTGTACCACTAAAAGCTCTTAAACCTGAGTGACATCACCCACTGGAATATGACTCAGTGGATGGGGGGGGGGACGTTTTCTAGATGATGAAAATGTGCAAGTGAATGTTGGTAGCAATTGAGTGGAGTCCTAGGACATTATATCAAGGGGCTAGCTGGAATATGGCCTAACCAATGTCTGCCCACAACGCCAAAATACTTGGGAGTACTTGGGCCAAAAAAGGATTCCAAACTCTGACGTTAGGGTAGACTGCTTCATCAGAACTAACTGAAAAGGTAAGAACCAGTGAGGAAGCTTTCAAACTCTACTATCAAAACAAAATGTTGCAGATAATTTACACTGGAGAGCTTCATTTTTAAACAAGGAGTTAGGTCAGTGTTATGCATTTCTCCAGGTGAGCAAAACAGGTTTCTGGAGGTGTGGGTCTGGCAGGTGGAATTCCCAAAATGGAGAATTTTGGGAGTTTGGAGTCCAGAAAATCAAAATGGCAGATCTCTAGCTTGTATACCTCTGCAAGAGGATACTGGTGTATGAATTGTTAGCTTTCTACCAGTAACCTTGATCCTCACGTACTTGACACAGAACAGCAGGTGGGAAAATAACAACAAAACCACACACACAAGGTGAATGAAACTTGTCTAATGATCTTTAATATTTCACACAAGAAATTGATTTATATATATGCTTTACATACAATATTGTTGGCCAAATAAAAATGGGCCATTTAATTAGGCCAACAGATTATTCCTTTGGGTCACTGTACAGTTGTAGGAGATTAGAACAAATCTATAAATATGTTCTCCCTTAAAAATAAACCCAAACTTGTATGTAATATTATCTCCTTGTTAAATCCTTGAAGAAAACTGGACTTTTACAATGATACCAAATCAAAGTTTTGTTCATATTTTCTACTTTAACCACCCTCCGTATATTAAACTGACGCCCAAACGTCTTAGTTACACCAGTCATTTATTAAGCAGAAATACCACTTACATTCCTGTGTAACAATAGTAACAAATGTAGTTCTGCTTATTTAAAAAAGACAGCATAAATATAAACAATGAAGTTACAACAAAATTTTAGTCTTTACAAAGAATCGAGAGTGTGAGTTTAAAAATCATTTGTAGATATTTGTACCATGTATTTGTACTATTCCACATTGTGGAAATGCTGAGATATGCAGTCTGGACTTCACAACTTTGAAACTGAATTACAGTCATTGGCACAAACACAGCTATATCTATACAAAAGGAAACAATCTTGTTCAATTTCTTAAGCAGCCCATCTGCTAGTTAGCATGACATGTAAATAGAGTCCAAGTGAAGAAAGTAAGGTTGAAGCATTAGTAGAGTACTGAATACACTGGGAGTTCCAAACTGCTTGGTAAGAAAAAGGAAACAAATACTCAAATAAAATGTGTCAATAATGTTCAGATCATGAAGTCAACTGCACTCTGTATGCACCTATCAGTAGCTTTACCTATAAGAGAAGACATATGAGTAATTAAGTGTCTCACAAAAATGCATTGAAGACAGATAATGCACAGTACTGGACTCTAACTAAAGGCTCGATCACACTTGCAAAAAACTCCAGTTATACCGATTTGGCTGTTTTTTTAGATTGTTTCATAGTTTTCCAAGCACATGAAACACAGCCAACATTGATTCATTTTCCCAGCCAGCGTTTTATTTCCCCCTTGCTGGGACAGTGGATTTAAATTGTATGGAATGATATGATAAGGAATGAATCGCTTCATTCCTTATCATTTCATCATGTGTGAATGTTGCTGTTAATTTACTTCTTTTGCAAAGGCATCAGGTTTCAGGGCACTGGCCAATACACTTGTACCCTTTTTAAAAATTCTTTTAAAAGGCAGATTGATATATCAAAGCAGCTGCCATTTAAAAAAAAGGAATACAGTGGTGCTCCGCTTGACAACGATAATGTGTTCCAGCAAAATCACTGTACAGCGAAATCGTCATCAAGCGAAAAAAAAACCAATTGAATGCATTGAAAACCAGTCATGAGTTCCAATGGGGGAAATACCTCATTGTCCAGTGAAGATCCTCCATAGGGCGGTCATTTTCAATCCGTCTTGCAAAGAATCGGTCCAGAAAACAGCAGGGAGTCATTTTGTGAACTGCTGATCAGCTGTTTTTAATCATCGTCAAGCAAAAAAATGGTTCCCGAAGCAGGGACCAAATCATCGTTAAACAAAAATCACCCATTGGAACCATTGCTTTGCGATCGCTATAGCGATTGCAAAAAAGGCATCGTCAAGCGATTTCATTGTCAAGCGGGGCACCACTGTACATTGTTTAGAAACATCGGGGGGGGGTAAGGGAGCTTCACAGAAGAGAATGGGCCATTTCCTGCTTCAGACTGAAAGGAAAAAGAAAAGAGACTAGGAAAAAGGTAAATAGGACTACAGTGGAACCTTTACTTACGAACTTAATCCGTCCCAGAAAACGTTAAGTAGAAGCAAAATTTCCCATAGGAATGTACTGAAAACCATTTATTCTGTTCTGGCTGTTTTTCGTTCTTATCTAGAGGCACCGTTCACAAGTAGAAGCATTAGTTCTCATAGGAACTAATGCAACGCTGGTTAATCCGTCCTCTACCACTAGGGGGAGAATTTTTCTTCTTTTGACCTTAGATGAACTTAGGTCAAAAAGGAAAGGTGGTGGTGGGGAACACCTAAACAGAACACCTTTAAAAACAAGCAGCTTTTAGCTTACAAAAAGGGCAGGAAAACACCTTTAAAACAGAACACCATTAAAAAAGCCACAGAATCCAGCAAGCATTATTCCAACACAGAACTCCTCATCACAAAAAGAGTCTAAATTGCATTTTGCAGCCTGCCTGCATCAACAGCCAGCACAGCCCCTCACAGAATATTTTCTGATTT